AAAAAAATATATTGCCTAGGTCTATTTCCATTTATACCATACAGCTGTCCCTTAAAGTTGATGGTAAGGCACATACCAGGTGGCCCTTGAGGATTTGCAAATTAGAAATTTATCTGAACAGAAACAAGTCACATCCAAAACTGTATTTTAAATTATGTCGGAATGCTACAAACATTTTTCCTCCTTGACTATAGTTTTAAAACACTGTAAAGAAATCAGAAAAGTAGCCAGGGCCTGTCCTACACCTTAAATTAGTGAGCCGTTGAATAATTTATTTACTCATTCATTACTTCTACAAATAATTGTTCCAAAGCTGAGAAATGTGCCCTACTGTTAAGGAGCCAGAAGCCATTTATGGTCTTTGTTTCTAGACCTACATGAGAAGGAAATATTTCTCATGTTGTATTTGGCCTTTGAACTAAACCTCTCTCTATCCAACTCTCCTTATCCCAAGAAGAACATTTCCTTTGAACAACATAAACTTTTATCTGTTTATATCAAGGGGTTAACCTCAACTTATTTAAACAAATATTCACTGAGAATATATAATGTCCATGAGACTGTGATAGTAACAGAACACAGTTTCCATCCTCCAGGGTAATCTTTATCTAGTGAGGTAATGAAGTTTCCGTAGAGAAAATGCAAGGCAGAATGGTAAATTCTATAATCCAAGTTACAAACATTTTAACGACAGTCAGCCCTCTTTATCTGTGGGTTCCACACTCGTGGATTCAACAAACCGTAGATCAAAAATATTCAAAGAAAAGAAAAATTCCAGAAAGTTCCCAAAAGCAAACTTGAATTTGGTACACCCAGGCAACTATTTACATAGCATTTACACCGTATTAGGTATTATAAGTTATCTAGAAATGACTTAAAACATTCAGGAGAATGAGTGTAAGTTATATGCAAATACTACACCGTTTGGTATGAAGGATTTGAGCATCCTCAGATTTTGGTATCTTCGGGGGTCCTGGGATTAATCCCCTATGGATACCAAGGGATGACTGTAATTTATTTCTCTGAAGATTAACACTGTTAATGTGTTTAGTCCTTCTGATGCAGATGGGTTAATTTTTACACATGAAGGTCTCTGGGACTAATGAGAAGAAATTATTTTAAGCATTTAATTTATATCCTAAATTAGCTTTCTGTAGACTTTTAATCCATGTAGGCATGCACAGAATGAGGGAGCAGGTCTGAGCATGGGGTGAAAAGGGACGGAGCTTTCAAGGTACTTCATTTTAATGAAACTGGATTTTAGTCTGCATTACAGAGGTTCCAGAAGTAATATATTTTTTAAGGATCAAAAATTTAAAAATACATATTCTTTGACCCAGCATTCTCCAGTGTCAGGACTTGAACCTACAGATATGATCCCAAATGCCTGCTAAGCATATAGATAAAGAGCATCATTGGACTTTTTTTTTTTTAATAGCAATTAGAAAATTAGGTGACTGCTTAAATAAATTATGGTATATCCACATGACAGAATACTATGCATAAATTGTAAATGCTGATGTAGAACGACCACTGAGATATATTATATCAAAAATGTAAAAGGCATATATATATATATATGTAACATTTAAAAATGAATATATCAATAGAAATATGGAGATATGCAAAATATTTTTCTGGAAGAAATCAAAAGAAATTTAACAGGTTGAGGAGGTGGGTAGAGGGTGGGATGCAGAGAGGGAGATTTCAATGTTCACTTTCTGTGCTGTTAAATTTTTAAATTTTAACCTTAGATATATTACTTTTTCATTACTTAATTTTTAAATTGTTAACATGAAGTTATCTGGACAAGGAGATAACCAGATTTTCCCCCCCCTTTTCTTCTCTGCAACTAAAAAATATTCTAAAGGTTGTTGTATTAAAAAAACAAAACACAGCAAAAACTGAAAAAAAATCCCAGGAACTATGCTCCAGGCAGTATGGAAGACAAGAGAGCCTGAATCATTGTCCTGATGAAAAACAAGTAAAAAAGTCAGATAAGACATAAAACATGTATAAAATGTTTTAACTGTGTTATTGAGCTGGCAAACTCTAAGAAATGAGGTTGAAATAAATGTATTTTTAGATAAATAATAATAGATGGACCTTCACTAAAAAACATGAGATATATTTCAGTATAAGGGAGAGTATGTATTTCAGATAAAAGGGAAATGATTTCAGATGTTAAAGTCAGAGATGCAAGTAGGAAGAGAAAAAAGATATTAGTAAGTATGTTGATCCAATGCAATTACAGTTGAACTCCCAGTAGATAATCTCTGTGGAATTTGACAAGCTAAATCTGAAATTATATGGAAGAACAAAGGTCCAATTATAGTCAAAAAACAAATAGACTAATGGACAAAATAAAGACCCTATAAATAGGCCCTTGCATATATATGAAAACTGGATTTATAATGGAGAGGGCACTGCAGATCAGTGGGGAAATGGTTGGACTGTTCCATTAAAGGTACTGAGACACTAAAAGCAATAGCCATAAAGGAAAAGATTATTAAAATGTACTACATTAAATTAAGAGTTTCTATTCATCATTAGTGGCAGGGCACGAATAAAGACACAGATGTAGAGAACGGACTTGAGGACCACGGGGTGGGGGGCGGGGGAGAGCTGGGATGAAGTGAGAGAATAGCACTGTCATATATACACTACCAAATGTAAAACGCATGGCTAGTGGGAAACTGCTGCATAGCACAGGGAAATCAGCTCGATGTTCTGTGACGACCTAGAGGGGTGGGATAGGGAGGGTGGGAGGGAGGCTCAAGAGGGAGGGCATACGGGGATATATGTATATATATAGCTGATTCACTTTGTTGTACAGAAGAAACTAACAACATTGTAAAGCAGTTATACTCCAATAAAGATATAAAAAGATACATGAAATCCATGTGTGACATGAAAAAAAAAAATAAAGAGCACAATAATCATTAAAGAAAAAAAAAGTTTCTGTTCATCAAAAGACACCATAAAAATAAGACAAGCCAAAAACCGGGAAAAAATATTGCAATACATATAGCTGATAAAGGATTAGCATCCAGAATATTTATAGAACTCCTACAATTGATAAAAAACAACCCAGAAGAAATAAGGGCAAAGGACACAAATAGGGATTTAACAGAAGAGGAAACACAGAAGTCCATAAACATAATAAAAATATGCTAAACTTCATTAAGTAAGCAGTGTCTTTAAATTCAAATTTAACTCACAAAGTGATCCATTATATAACCACAAGTTTGACAAAATTTTAAAAGTTAGATAATACAGTCAGCCCTCTGTGATTATGATCCAAGGTTGGTTGAATCCAAGGATGTGGAACCCATGGATAAGGAGGGCAGACTATGAGAATTGTGCATCTACAGATTTTGGTATCTGTGGTGGGTCCTGGAACCCATCCCCCGCAGATACACAGGGATGGCTGTACTATACGTTGTAATGATGAAGATCTTGAGTGATAGGACCCTCACCTCTGTTGGTGCCAGTGTAGGTTTATATAAGCAACTTGGAAAACGGTCTGGCATTTCTTAGTGAAGCTGAACATGTGGTTACCCTAATCCTACTCCAGGTACACATCCTAGAGAACTGTTAACACGCGTATGTCAGGAAACGTACTGGGATGCTTACGGCAGTTTTGTTCTTAATTGCACAAAACAGCCCAAGGACCATTAATGGTGATATAGACATAAACTGAGCTCTGTATTAGAAATTCCATTCCATGTAATGGAATACCAGATAGCAGTGAATCACGAATGAAACAGAACTCCATGCAGGAACATGGATGAATCCCCAAAAATGCTGAGCAAGAGAAGCAAGAGAGAATACATGAAATATGATTCTACTTATACAAAGTTCAAACACAGAAAACTAAACAACACATACTGTTTAAAAATATATAAAGAAGTATGGGCTTCCCTGGTGGCGCAGTGGTTGAGAATCTGCCTGCTAATGCAGGGGACACGGGTTTGAGTCCTGGTCTGGGAAGATCCCACATGCCACAGAGCAACTAGACCCGTGAGCCACAACTACTGAGCCTGCGCGTCTGGAGCCTGTGCTCCGCAACAAGAGAGGCCACGATAGTGAGAGGCCCGCGCACCGCGATGAAGAGTGGCCCCCGCTCGCCGCAACTAGAGAAAGCCCTTGCACAGAAACGAAGACCCAACACAGCCAAAAATAAATAAATAAATAAATAAATATATATATAAAGAAGTAATACATTTAAGAAAAGCAAGAAAATGATAATTCAAGATTCAGGATAGGGATTGTATGGGGGAGGGGTGGGTGGTGTAGGAAGGGGGATGATCTGATTAGTGAGGGCTCCCTGGGTAATCTAAGGACCTGTAATACTCTATATCCTAATCTGAGGAGGGGGTGCATGGATGTTCATTTTATTTTTTAAATTGTATAATACATTAAATACATATTATATAATATATATATTATATATACATATATATGATACATTTCATGGGAAAAAAGCACACACACACATCTTTCTGAACATGATGGGGAATATATTATAGTCCAACAAGAAAAGAATTTATCAATGGATTTACAATGTGATCCCTAGTTTTTAATCCATTTTATCAGAATGACATATTGAGACAGGATTCAGTCAAGCTTGGAAACATAGCTTACACCAAGGGACCATATGATAAACACTACCTCACATGAGAAGCTATAAAAAGCTGTGTGACATTATGAACCGCTCTTCTCTGCCTCACAAGCGAAAATCTCAACTACTTAACTCAGTTCAACAGAGAAAAGCTGAAGGGAAGATCCTATGCAAGCAGGCAAACACCACGGGCTAGAACTGACTAAGCAACATAAATGGACTTCCAGTGGTTAAGGCTGACAATGACCTCTAAAGTATGCTTGAAAAACAGAGTTCTTCTGCCACATATATTTACCTTGCTTCAGAAGAACCAACACCTGCCTTCAGTTGCTGTTCAAGGAACTGAATTCTTTTGCAAAGCAGTATAAATGCTCACCTGTGCTTGACCATTTTTTGATCATGGCAAAAATGACTAAAGAATCTTGCATAGAACAAGTGCATGACAGCATGTTCTTTCCCTCCAATGTACAAATCCACAGGCATCCAGTAATCTGCCAACGCTGTGCTGAAAGGGCTGGGAGGAAGAGAGATGGTCATTTATAAAAAAAACCCTGCTTTGTCACAATTGCATAAATTAGACCAATCATAATTTGCATATTCCCTGAAATAAATTATGTCAGAGAAAAACAGTGATTTTCTTATTAAAATATAATGAGAGAAGCTTATATAACAAAGGAGAAAAATGTCAGAGCAGTGTTAATTTATGAAATTTATAAAAACTGTTTCAGAAGCCATATTGACATATTTTAACAAATGTGATTTTCATATATAATGAGGACAAAAGGAAAACATACCAGCAAAAAGTGTATTTCTGAACAATGCATATTTGACTATCTGGATTTATTTTAATTTTTATTACCATAGACAATCAAGATTTTTGAGTTCTTACCAATAGAGGGCAATATGGCACGTACAATGGAGACTCTCATGCAGACACTAAAAGTTCATTTTAAGACAGAAATTCATTTGCCTTCCCAGTGCATTAAGAAATGACATGCATGTCATTTCTTCATACACTAGAAAGGGGAAATAAAGTACACAAGTCCAAGTCTAGAATTAGTACTTTTCCATGCAGATTTGTGCACATGTGAGAGGGTGCCCAGTTTGTCTGGTGATTGTTAGAGAGTTGGACCACTATTGTATGTTGCTAATAATCATCAACTGTAGTCCCAAAAATGCCTTGTGAAAATGTTATGCCCTATGTAACAGCAGAGTAACATAAAATTACATTGTATAAACCAAAAAATAAATAAATAAATAAAACAGAAATTCAATCTTATTTTTAGAGCAGCCTCAAAATGCAGATAGTCAGCAAGAGCCTGCATATGCTTCCTGAATGCACTGAGCATACTTGGAGTAATTAACATGAAACAGCCTAGTTCTGTCACCTAATAGATACTTTTTAGTCAAGAGAGGTCCTAAAAGAAAGGCTTCCTCACTGGAGGCATCGTTCCCTAGTCCTAATGGATGCTAGGGAGGAAAAGAAATGCCACTCACTTTATTTTCTCTGTGTGTGTGTGTGTGTGTGTGTGTGTATGTGTACACTGTGTGTGTATACACTCCGTGTGTGTGCACACTCCGTGTGTGTGTACACTCTGTGTGTGTGTGTGTACACTGTGTGTATGTGTGTGTGTATACACTCCATGGTTTCACATATATGTGAATTCTCTTCCCCACACCTCAAGGTACTTTTTTCCCTGGCGCTCAGCAGGTGGGCCTGGCCAAACACCATGTGTTTGCCTTAAGGCAGCTTGTTTTTCTCTCCTCCAGTTACTATGCCAGAATTCTGATAAAATTTTAAATAATGTTTCTTTGTGAAAAATGCTTCCCCAGAGAAATCTAACTGTTCATGCAGGTGACAGAAAAGCAAGGGAAGTCAAGAATGGTACTCGGCCTGAAAGTAAGTTTGAAATAAATTGAGCAGTGAGATGGGATCTATGATCTTTCCTGGAAACCACCTAGTGAGAATGCAAGCCAGCATGGAAATAAACAGCAGCATTTTACAAAGGAAATGATGTGATACGTGGTATTCCCAAACTGGGGGCTGTGAAGGTCTCGGGACATACCTCTCACCAGCTAAGGGTCCCATCATTAAATTGGAGTCTCATCTGTAAGAAGGTTTTCCCTTGAAGCATTCTGAGAGGTGGAGAGCCTGATTTCCCTTACATTCTAAGGCAGCTCTTCCTAACTGGAAGTCACCAAAAGCCCCTTCTAGAAGGAAGATCCAGAAGAGGGGCCCCTCTGTGGGTTAGCCGGGGCTGCCCTGGTGGTTCCCAGCCACAGAAGTCGCCCTGTATCCTTTCTTGCCTCTGCCAGCTACTATTTACTCCGGATCCTGCTCATTCTGCACAGCCTCGACTCAAATCACAGATCCGCAGGACTGCAGGGCAGGCAGGAGCGCCTGTCTCCCTGGAAATATATTATCTTACAACCAACGAAGGAAATGGGGGCATTTTCAGACGTGGACTATGGGGTTTCAGTATAATTGTTCTCCCATGGACAAGAGCAAGCTGGCAAGGTCTTTGAAGCACAGTGTCTGTGGTTTTCCTGTGCTCTGTACCAGTTTTCTTTTGTTCTCATTTCCTTCTTTACCTATCTACCTACTGCTCTCTTTCCCTTATTTATTTATCTTTGTCAAAGAAGCACATGCACATAGCTGAAAAAAATCAAATAGTACCAAAAGCTTTATAATTAAAACAGTGGTCTCCAGCCCCATTCCTTCACTAACCTCCCTCCCACCCCTCACCTGTCACTTAGCCACTTCTAATTCTTTCAGCTGTGTTTTCTGGCAATTATTAAAATTGTTTATGCTCTTTGTTCGTTTGTCAATTTTGGAGATTATCTAGCACTGTATGTGCTAAGAAGTCATGCTTCTCAGCTCTCTCACACTCCCTACCCTCCTATCCTCCCTGAATAGTTACATCATTATTTTCAGTTAAGTAAGTAACATTACACCTTTACAACTGCATAAATGCAGTTCACCACAGGGCCAACGAGGGTATTAGCACTTCCTTCCTTTTTCTGCTTTTCATTTTTCTTGTACCTGGGACTTACTTGGCTGTGAAGAATCTAATTTAATAATCGAACACACTCCCTACAAGAGCCTGTTTCAAAGAGCACAATTGATCAACAGCTTCTAGCTCTTCTGTCTTTGGAGCCACTGAGTGTTCACACAATCCATGCCCTCCTATAGGGAGCGGACCACAGCAGGCGTTTCCTCCTGACTTGAGACTCTCTAATGGACAAGCTTTGCTTGAGGCTTCCCGTCAGCCTGCTCGAGACTTTCTCAAGCTGCACTGCGGTCTGAGGCTCTTCCTATGCCATCCTCCTACCTCCGCCCTCTCCTTTCACAGGTGTCAGACCAGCATCACAGTCAAGGGCTCGCCCTGCCAACTCCTGCTCCCTCACCTCCTTATTCCCTAGAGGCACTTGCCCCCATAAATCTCTTGCCCATCGAATTCCATCTTGGTGTTTGCTTCTTGGAAGACCCAGACTGACACATGCTCAAGAATTCAGCAGGGCTTTCTTTACCTCTGAGTATTCTGAGGGTCGGTATATCTGAAGTAGTACCAAGCAGAATCAACAAAGGTATCCATCGTATCTGTCTCTCTCGTGGCTGCTCCCTTGCACCTAAGAAATAAATGAAGTTCATCGATTGGTTTCTTTTTAAATATTAATGCATTTTCCACCAGCTTTTGAGAAAGCTATGACAATCATTATGAATTTAAAATGTCATAAGAACAATGCTCCATCATGAAAAGATAATTCACAGTGTGGACTCTCTTTGTACTGCAGAGTACATGATGTTTTAAAGAAACTTACAAAATAAACATTTAAATCTTCAACAACTAAAAGCCCTATTCTGTACTTCTCTGAATTTAACATGGTAGAATATCTAACAGGAATCTTGTCTCTTTACTGCATTCACTTCTCTTTTAGGCATATCAAGACTGCCTTCAGCCTTATGAGGCAAATCAGTTTATGAAGAAAAGCTGAAAACCAAATGTAGTGAGATACTGTGCTGAAAAATGAACTTGGGGTTTTTTTCTATCTCTGTCTCTTGGGTAAGGGGAGCAGAAACCCACAAGAGGTGACCTTAGGAAGATAAATCACCTTGGGAGCCCAAAGGCAGAGGCATGCTGGAGCCACCTCATACCAGCTTGTGAGGACTAACTGTTGGGATCGCTTCCCAACTCTGGGACAAATGATGCCAAGTTGGTGGTCTGAAATTAGCCCTTGGTGGAAGTACCTATACCACAGAAATGGGCTAACACTACAAATCAGAAGCTCCCCTCCAGAGAGCTATTTAGTACACACTTACCAACACACCACTGCCTAAAGGAAGCTTCCTTATAGAAGGGTGAAGATAGCCCCACTGTTCAAGAAAGTGAATGAAGTGAGATGCCTGGTGTGTAAAGGGTTGAAAAGAAAAAGCAATCCTCATCCTAGGCATGCAGATGCCTGGGGAGGACTAAGGTTCCACAAACACCTAACTGCTGAACCAATTTTGAAACATGTTGGTAGGGTGATGGCCCTGTGGGACTGAAGCCAAAAGCCACAACTTCTGGGAAGCCAAGAGAGAGTACCCTGAGCCAAACCTGGCCAAGGAGGGTGCTTGGCTTCCTTGAAGACCCCCCAGAGGCATGGAACAGCAGGGGATGGGGTGAGCCAGCTACCGACAGCTATTAGCAGGGACCCTTTGTGGCCGTGAGAAGCCACAGCAGGAGAACATGGCTCAGACTCCAGGCTCTCCCTTCTGAGGCATGAAGTGGGACCAACCACCTCTCCAAATGCTGCCCTTTTGGCAGTATGGGTCCTCGGGGACTCTTGGAGAATTTGAGGAGGGGGATGAGGAACCCCAAGAGGAACTGATGAATCCTCTGCTAAGTTAGCATGCAAGGGCTTCAGTCTGTTTTTAATTTAAAAATAAAAGAAGGGGTGCCTTTATATGTTGCATCTGTGATATAGCTCATACTGGCTTTCCGAATATTATTGGAGGAAACAGCCACTCCCCATCTTCTGCTTATTAAATGGAAGTGGCTCAGCAGAGAGCACAGGAGCCCAGATCTGGCAGGGCTCTGGGCTCCCAGGGGCCTCCTCATTTCAGTCAGGGGGCCTCCCACTGGGAAGAGTGGTGGTCCCTGGGGTAGGAGCTTATCGGAGAGAGCCCCAAGGGAACCCTAGTCCTGTTTCCTACAGTGCATCTCTAAATGAAAGCCAGGGGACTTCCCTGGTGGTGCAGTGCTTAAGAAACCGCCCGCCAAAGCAGGGAACATGGGTTTGAGCCCTGGTCCGGGAGTATCCCACATGCCGCGGAGGAACTAAGCCCATGCGCCGCAACTACTGAGCCTGAGCTCTAGAGCCTGTGAGCCACAACTACTGAAGTCCACAGGCCTAGAGCCCATACTCCGCAATAGGAGAAGCCACCGCAATGACAAGCCTGTGCACCACAACGAAGAGTAGCCTCCACGCACTGCAACTAGAGAAAGCCCGCATGCAACAACAAAGACCCAACGCGCCGCCCGCAAAAAATAATAAAATAATTTAAAAATTAAATAAATAAAATCCAGGTCTTTTTATTTGGAAGGCAATCAACCAGAACACATACTATTTTGGGAAATAATTAGAAGGTAACTGTTACTTCTTCCTCACCATCAGGGCACCCACACAAGTTAGGAAGAAAATGTAGGATTCAACTGATAATAGGACTAATATCTGACTAAAACTTGCCATGCTGATTTTCTTTTTAAAGGTCATGTTGGACTTGAAGACAACCAACATGTTTTCTTGCTGACACTAAAAGCTGGATTACATGGAAGAAGCTACTTGGTAAGTGGGATGGACAGATGATGGTAATGGTGACAACGTTATTACCATTATTAGCTCCAAGAGTAATAATACTAACACTGGGTGGCAGACACTAAGCCAAATGCTTCATGGGCATTATCTCATTTAGTCCCTAGTAACCCTGGGGATTATGAGGTAGACACTACTCACGTCCCCATTTTGCAGTTGAGTAACTAGAGTTCTGCGAGGTTAAGAAATCTGCTCAAGGTCTTAGAGCTCAAGGGGAAGGAATCCACCTTTGCTGGACTCATGCCTGTGGTCCTTACCACCATGCTGTCCCGCTTGGCCACACGGGCTCAGTGGCTCTCAGCCCTGCGTGCTCATTAGAATCATCAGGGAGACTTGACCAAGACCAAGCCCTGGGCTCTGCCCTCCAGGAATCTGCAGCCAAGGTAGGAAAACTTATCCCCACCACCAAGGCCCTGGGCTGCCACAACTGGCGGGCTGAAGGCTGCTGATGTCTCCGGCAGGGAAACCCTTTGTCACTGCTTATCAACAAAGAGGGTGATACCCTAAAATGGCCCAGAGCTTCCTATGTTCCTGACTGCAAACCCCATCTCAAACCTCAGAACCGCCTGGGTGAGGACCTGGGCGGACTGTTGGCAGGCCCGGGCAGGATGGCACTAATATTTCCAGTTACAGAGTGTCTGCTAGGTGTCACTCTGCAGTGTTACATGCATTAATTCTCGTCTTCTGAAATCCCTTTGAGGGGGTTATTTTAGCTCCCGATAAGGGAATCACAGCTCAGAGAGGTTAAGTGACTTTCCCAAGACCACACAGCTAGGGAAGAGGCAGGGCCAGGACTTGAAGCCATTACTGTCCAACTCCCCATTCTGAGCCATGCACTTGCACTACATGGTTACCTAATTACTGACCTAGAGATGCTAAGAAGAGGACTAAGTTATTTTAAAACAACCCCATCATGATCTATAAGGCAGAGAAAAATGGCTTTTCCATAGAAGGAAGAAGGGAAATATTACAGCTTGGTATCTGTTATTTGTTTAATCAGCTGGAATGCTATCATAAAAATCACATGTGAGACATGCCAGTGAATTAACAGGAAAACATAATCCTACTGTCAAAATGAGAAGAAATGAGATATGGTATGTTTCAGTATATTAAAGAATGAGACCCCCTGAGCATACTTGTCCTCGTAGCTACTACTACTCTGCTACTTGCGACAAAATCCCCACTGTTATCACAGTCACTATGTGGGAAAACGGTAAGGCATTTTCTCTCATCTCTGAGAAGCTCTTTGGAATATAAAATGGAGGAAAGTGGTCTCTTCCAAAGCTATCATGAAAATGTGTAGCTTTTCCATCAGTTGGATCAGCTGTTTCTGGGAAAGATATGAATTGACATTGCTGCTTCTACCGGCTCAGAAGAGAGGACGGGGCGCTCATCACAGGGGCTGGGCCCCAGATTCCAGCCCCTTCTCTCAAAGATAGCAAAAGACCTAAGACCTATGTTATTCTTTCCAGCCAAGTGGAAGTCTGGGACCAGACATGGTCACAGCTGGGGAACGTGGTTTCTTACCTAGGGCAGGAGCAATTCACCCACTCCGAAGCTGAGGCCAGTGGGGAGCCTCCCTTGCCAGTGAAAGAGGTGATGCTGGGCAAGGTCACAGGCAAGTCCTCCAGAGGCACGGGCACAGGACCGCAGGCCAGGCAGTGGACCATGGGGATGGGCGTGCCCCAGTACCGCTGCCGAGAGATCAGCCAGTCCTTCAATTTATCACTTGTCACCTCTCCGCCCACTCTCTTCCTCCGGGCTTTCTGAGTCAGGGCTAGAAATGCATCTGGCCGGTTCATACCTGTGAACTGAGAGGGGAAGGAGAGAGATCACATTCCTCCCTTGGTAAGAATGAGCTGCCACCCTGATGCCACCACCCTGGATTGCCATTTTTTGTGTGGTCTGTGCAGGGCCACATTGTGACTCTCTGTTGCCTTTGTGGGCACCTTCCTCCTTACAGTATTAAAACTTATATTTTATGACAGTGGTGAATAAAGATGAATATAATTTTTGACCTTAAGAGTTCCCATTTTTTCTTCTGATGTTAAAGAAATTAACACTTTTTGGGGGGCCCCTGAGAGTACTGTGGGCTCTGGTTTGGGGCTCTCCTTATCACCAGAGTCCTGTGGCACCTACAGAGAGAGGCAAATATCAGCATTCAGCTGCCAGTAAAAAACTGCACATTTATTTTAATGACTGCTCCCCTCTTGAGACAGGGGTGGCCAGAAAAGAAAAGTTCCATATTATCCTAGAGCCAAAGGAATTCGGGCAAGCAGGGGAACAAACTGAGGCCTCAGCTTGAAGGACCACCCCTTTTGTATTTAAATGCTCCCATGTGAGAGACAGCAGGGCAGGACACTCATAGCAGAAAAGAGGAATTCTCTGTTCACTGGACACTTTTTTTTTTGCGGTACACGGGCCTCTCATTGCTGTGGCCTCTCCCGTTGTGGAGCACAGGCTCCGGACGCGCAGGCTCAGCAGCCATGGCTCACGGGCCCAGTCGCTCCACAGCATGTGGGATCTTCCCGGACCGGGGCACGAACCCATGTCCCCTGCATTGGCAGGCTGACTCTCAACCACTGCGCTACCAGGGAAGCCCCACCGGACACTTTTGAGAGAACCAAACTAATGATAAGAATTGGGCCAGCATGGCTTGCCAACGAGGGGATCGTGGGAACCTTGGAATTGGTTCAGTGCAGGTGTACCGCAAACCTACTAGGTGCCAGGCTTGTGCTAGGCGTTGGGAGCACAAAGATAAATCTGATCTGCCCCTAACCTCAATGAGCTTACAGCCACGGGGCATAAAGAATAGGAAAGTACAGCTATGTTTATCAAAAGCAGCCTTTTCCATTAAGCGTCTGAAATGTCCTGAAGACCGAGCTCTCTACCAAGGAACCACTTACACTCTGGGAGAGCACTTTCTTTGTCCTACACTCCCACTATCATGTAATTATGGTGCAGGTGATCACAAGCGCTCTTGAAAGTCTATCTTCTCAATGCATTACTGTTTTCACATCCCAGAAGTTCATGGAGGCTTTCACCATCCATTCTCCTTCCATCCATTGAAAGAATTCCTCCAGTCTAGATATTCAGTCTAGGGCCACCAGAAGATTCAACAGACCACCTGAAGCTATTTGAAAGAAGCCAGGGAGCATAATTAATGCTCAGTCCTATACTAAGGAGGGGGCATTTTTCTGGCTAATTCATAAGACTAATTTTGGCCATGACTGTCCTCTTTCTCACCCTGCAGAGGGTTATCCGGGTCTCTTTCTGGCACCTTGGCTTGGCTCTGCTCTACATCTAAGAAACCTGCTCACACACAGTCTTAAGAAGGGTTTAAGGTTCAGTATCTTAAAACATAACTCGTGTCTGGGGATATAATTTATGAAGTGAAGGCATAAACATGAGGTCAGAAAACATTGCCACTCCTTACACAGGAAAAAAAACCTGGCTATTCCCTTATTTTTTATATACATGATATCCTATAGCCAGGTAGTCCCAAACCTGAAAAACCTGGATCTTCAGGTCTAATGGAATCAGGATCACCCAGGTGGGGCCGGTAAGCATCTCCCTGGTGATTCTGAGACATGGCCGGGTTGCAATCACTGTGTTAAGCCAGGAGTTCCCAGGCCCTACTGCACATTAGAATCACCCGGGGAGCATTGAATTCTCCTGATGTCCGATCCATGTCCTCTCCACTCCCTCAACCATTAAATTAGAATATCTGGGGTGGGACTCAAGCATCAGTATTTTTCAAAACGTTCCAGGTGTTCTCAAAGGGCAGCCAAGTTTAAGAAAGAGTGCTCTAAACCAGAACTCTCAAACTTTAATGTGCACACAAATTACATGGGGTTCTCACTAGACCAGGTAGGGTCTGAGAGTCTACACTTCTAACAAGTGATGCCAACGCTGCTGGTCCGGGAACCAGACTTTGGGTGGCAAAGTTCTAACCCAGGGATTCTCAAAATGTGGTCCCTGGATCAGCAGCAGTAGTGGCATCACCTGGAAACTTGTTAGAAATGCAAATTCTTCAGTTGCATCAGGGACTGTGAAGCAGAATCTCCAGATGGGGGCCAGGGAATCTGTGTTCTAACAAGGCCACCAGGTGATACTGGTGTGTGCTCAAGTTTGAGAATCACTGTCTGAGCCATTTCCCACTTCCCCCTTCCCCACCTCACCCTACCTCTCCCATCATAATTTCTGGCCTAGTTCGGTATCAAGGCTGAGCTCAAATCCTGCCAGACTTACCACCTAGCAAGAGACAACCTTGACCAAATAAACATGACTCAAAACTTCTCTGCTGATTTCTAAAAATGAGTCAAACTTTAGGTGGGAATAAGTCAGTAATCTGGGGAGAACAGAGATCTCTAAAAGGAACAGCCAATTTTGGTCACCTGTCCCAAGGAATCAGTTTCCCTCGAAGAGGTCATTTTTCTTAAGCAGAAGATTCACAAAATAAAGTTTAGTGCCTTCGATAACCACACTATCCTAGGATCAGGTTCAACTTGGAGCTGATAAGCTTTTAGATCTTGAAAAAGAATATCATTTTGTTTTCATAGATTAAGAAACGAGGCTGCAAGACTGTTAGTGTGGGTATGAATGAAATGATAGGTTGTAACTTGCACCCAAAGGAAAATGTGTCATCAAGCTCATGTCAAGGCCCTGAGTTTATAAGTAAGTTCTTCGGCCACCTCCACGGGCACCGACCTCCGCAGAGCTGCTCAGTCTCTCCGTGCCATCTGGCATGGTTTCAATGACTTCAGAGTACGACAGGCCCAGGGTTTGGGCTAAGACAGTGTCCTCTAAGCTGGTGCTGGGAATTCCTGTTTAGGGGAAGAAACACAAAACGTCTCCTTTGCAAATGACCAAATCACAAAATAATTGACAGCACTGACACTCAGCGTTAGCTTCTCAAGGGAGACTCTAAAAGATTTTAGTCACAGAAATTATAAAACCACATCATATTCATTGGGAAAATGGAGAACAGTCTTGGAGAAACTCACTACCCTAACACAATAGTTTACCATATTGGCACTACTTCCCGTAAGTCTTTTTCCATTGCTTAGTTTCTTTTAAAAAATAGTTGTAATTCTAAAATATACAATTTTGGGTGCTTCTGTCACTTAAATAGTAAATCACAAGCATCTGGGGAAGTGTCTATTTTGAGTGACACAGGGCAGTGGATTTCTCTTGAGAAGCAGGGCTGACTCCTCCAGCAGCTCCTAGTGCCCCAGAAAAATCCGCTTGGTCAGTAAGTGGAAAGCTGGCCAATGTGTTTCTTCAAACTATGCTTTGTTCCCAGAGGCAACAGTACGTTCTGAACAGACATTTCTTCTTCAACCCACATATGCCCTTGAGGAGATGGAGTTGAATGTAAGTAAATCACTCATCCAGAGGGCCAAGGCATGCTGTTTCAGCTTCAGCTAATTAATACAAACAGGCTTTTTAGTTGTTGGTTCTGTAGGCCAGGGTTTCTCAACCTGGGTCCTACTGACATTCTGAACTTTGCTGGGGGGCCTGTTCTGTGTGCTGTAGGATGTTGAAGAGCATCCCTGGTCTCTACCAGTAGAAATGTTTCTAAAATTGCCAAATGTTGCCTGCTGCAAATCACCCCTGGTTGAGAACTGCTGTAGGGTCAACTGTCAAGACTGCTGACATCCTTGTGGACACTACACATCACGCAGCAACTGAGAGAGATAAAACTAAGGGTAATACACAAAATGCTTACGTCAGATGTCCATGAACAACCTCTCTGGAATGCTGCCCTAAAAGGGTGATTTAATGTTTGGGACACACATTCTAAAGATCCTTGGTAAGATGGAAAACTCCATGGTATGATGGAAAGTTCTGCAGTGTTCCAGCTGAGATTATGGACGAAAAGCATCTAATGAAGCAAATAAACTCTCAGAGTGGACTTGAAGGATACTGAAGGGTGAGGACAAATGGCAAGCAATAAAGGTTGCTGAAAAGTGTTCATGGTCAAGAAGGGAAAAAAGTCATTTACTGCATTCCAAAAGTTTGTGGTCTGTAGTAACTAGGAGCAATCTTCGAATGGAGACATTGTAACCACAGAATTTATTTGATCACATAAAGACCACTCTGGACCACTGTGTTGGTCATGTGGGGCTCAGTAGAGTGTGAACTATTTGTAACATGCAGGTGAGATGGTGAAAACACCACTTTAACTCTTGTTTACTTTTGTTTCTGTTCTTCTTGGAAGGCCGAGAGCCAATAATTCACAAAACATTAATTACAGAAGTGTGGGAAATCAAGACAACAGGAAAAATGATTTTCCATGCATACCCAAGAAAATCAGATTTTCCTTTTTCTTTTTCCCTTATCCTTCAGAACTCTCAATATTCTGTTAGTACTTTGACTCAAAATACCAAAAGGGGAGACTTCCCTGGTGGTCCAGTGGGTAGGACTCCGCGATCCCACTGCAGGGGGCCCAGGTTCGATCCCTGGTGGGGAACTAGGTCCTGCATGCATGCTGAAACTAAGAGTTTGCAGGCCACAACTAAGAGTCTGCATGCGGCAACTAAGAAGTCTGCATGATGCAATTAAAAGATCCCTCATGCCGCAACTAAGACCCAGCACAGCCAAAATAAATAAATTAATATTTTAAAACAACAACAACAAAAAAAAAAGGGAGAAAAGCCACATCAACAAGAGCTTCCTTTATTGTTTATCTTGGCTGGTTGTACTAATGAATTTTACTAATTATAAAATGCATTAAAGTAATAGAAGGAATTATTTCCTTTAAGGAACATACTTTCTAGGTTTAAATTGTCAGAGGAGAATGACTTGGGTGGCTTAATATCTGTTTTCTGTGTTGATGTTTCTTCAAATCAGTTTGCCAAAGAAGGATCTGAGAATTGTGAGCAAAACCATGATTTCAATAAGCAATGCTATTTCTTCTGTGTGCTAGGAGATACAGAGTGTGGAAATAACTTCCTCCGCAGGTTCTGGCACATTGGAGACTGCCTGGAATCTACAGCAGGAAAGCTGTAGAGATTGCTCGGGTCTGCCCTGAGGGCAGGTCTTGGATGGGGTATGATTAGGTCTCACACCTTGGTTCAATCCCAGACTTCCTGTTCAGTGATGATAGGTTAGAACTCTTAGGAATGAGTAAGGCCGCCAAGGAAATCCAATTTACAGCTCTAAATATGACTTCGATTTTACTGCTATTTCACGATCCCTTTCTTGCATAGCTGAAGTTCACCTCCTCCACAAAGCCTTCACCAAAAACCCAGCCCACATCGATCATGTGTGCTTTGAACGCCCATCTCAGCAGTTGCTGTTGGTTCTATGAATTCTGAAATTGGATTTTCATCTGAGTTGTATGGTTCCCCACATTGTATAGGCAAGTCTCACCAACTAGCTCTACTGGCAAAATCCATGGGCCAGACATTTTTCATTATTCTCAGTAGCAACTAGCAAGATGCAATAAACTTGATATGTTTTCAAAATATGATGCTTAACTAAGAGATGATGAAATGAAGGGACATTCATTTTTACAAAGAGGCAAAACAGATCATGGAATATATAGTCAGCTCTTCCAGGCTAGGATTTTGATCTTAAACCTGCTAAGTACACTATCCTGATTACATTTTAATGGCTACTTACCTATTTTTGCATCCAGAGAGCCCTCAAAGTCAGCTTTGGCCAAGATGACAACAGGGACTTCCTGCTGGGTGAGCATGTTCACAGCTGTCACGGGCGTGAGGCAATCTGAAAATGAGAGCAAACAACTGTGGACACCAATCTGCTGGGACTCTAACACCATCTGAATCTCAGAGGAGACAAGTGAGAAAAATAAGCTTTAGAATTTCTGTGTTTTTGTGCTAATTATTATAGAATTTGTTCTTTGAAGGTATTAACAGATAATTCACACTAGTGGAGAATCAAAAGATTAAACAAAAAAATGAAAATATTCATTCGCACTCCTAACCAAAGACATGAAAATGGCATTTTTACTTTCCAGATGGTGGAGTAAAGATGATCCCACCACCCACTTTTCCTTTTGAAAAGTACCTCAAGTATACAGAAGAATGAGAAGCACAACAATCTATCTATGGTGAAACTAAAAGATATCTGAAATTTTAAACTATAACACAGATGGAAGTGGATAGGAAAGGAGAAAATGACTGAACAGAGAGGAGATTTCCACACATTCAAGGACAAAACAGTTCCTTCCCATGTACCATTTCTAAGGAGATACCAGAGGTTGTGATCCAGCAAAAGGAAGGGGTAAATCAAGAAAGAGACAGACATGGGATCTAGGAAACAGAGGATCCAACAAAGAAAAGAGGGTAGGGACATTTGCAGAGCAGAGACAGAGAGAAGTCCCAGGATGACAGATATGCAGAAGCCTGGAGGATGACCAGGTCAGATTTAAGCAGGACAGAGAGCCCCAGGAAGCATCTTCAGGAAAAAAAGGGGATGGATAGATTATCTGACAGGGTGGAATATGTAGAAAACTTGAGAGGAGTTTTAAAGAGCTTCTGGGAGGATGTGGGAAGATAGTCAGAAATTCAAAGAACACAAAGCAAATTAAAAAAATGAGGACACCATGAACTTCAGGAAAAACAGAAAGTTATATAAAAAGGAAAATGTAATCATAGTATATTTGGCTCAGGTGACCAATATTTATGTGGTCATAATAAAACACTTAATTTGGAATTATCCAAACAGTGTGTCATCTTAAATGAAGCTTATTACAACTACTGCAGCAGTGAGATAAATCATACATACATGAATCTTCACTGAATATATGTAGGACTGGAAGCATGAAGACCCCAATAAAGTCCCAAAGGAAGAAGGGATGAGAGGTGGTAAACAATTAGTGAGTTCATTTGTACTTCTGCAACATAAGCAATTAACTACAGTTATAATTTATGAACTATTACTATTTACACCCGCTATGTTTTAAGACTTTATATAGATTTATCTAAAATATGTTCTACAAACCCCAAAGTTAAAATAAGCCTAGGGGACTTCTCTGGTGGTTCAGTGGTTAAGACTTCACCTTCCAACACAGGGGGTGTGGGTTCAATCCCTGGATGGGGAGCTAAGATCCCACATGCCTCACAGCCAAAAAACCAAAACATAAAACAGAAGCAATATTGTAACAAATTCAATAAAGACTTTAAAAATGGTCCACATCAGAAAAACCTTAAAAAAAAAAAAAGCCTAGGAATTAGGATTTATTTTTCAGAGAGGTAAAGATAGGCTCTGTAAACATCTAAGCCAGCTCCGATCTTCCTTCACCTTGGGTGTCAGGAAGTACAGGACAGGGTTACGGTGGGGACAGAGTGAAAATGCAATGCAAATGGGTCTCTAGGGATGACGTTCAACCAGCACCCTGGTACCATGACTGGAAGGCACCTGCTGCTGGAGCTGCTGAAGTGCTGACACCCTCAAAGTGGACAGCCAGATTTCTGATTCCATATGGTCCCTTCTCAAAGAATAGGTATACATTTGCAAATTCTGCAATTATGGTATGTTATTAGGAGGATGGACAGTGAGGCGTGGTGGAGTGAGAATAAAAGTCACTAGGTAATGTCTAGAACTGGTGAATGGAGAGACAGCAGTGTAGGCATATTATACAGACATGTGGCGGTCTATACCAGAGAAACGGCGGTGGAACAGACTGCCAGTTGACACCATATCTGTCTCTCCTTCTGATTCAGCAATAGAATGTTTAGTTGGACACATGACTGCGTAGCTAATGGCAGCACTGCTCAGCTTCACTTGCACTGGGTATGGACATGGGGTTAAGTGTAGAAGCAACTTGCAGGTCAAGCTCTCAAAGGGAAGGAGCTGCCCTTCTTCCCCCACCACCTTCTTACTGCGACACAGATGAAGTGTAGAACAATCTGGAACACACAGATAAGGGCAACATCCTAGAGGGGCAGAGCAGGAAGACAGAAAGAGCCTCGGCCCCAACCACCCCACAAAGCAGACTTGTTATACCCACTCTACATGTCACGTGGGCAAGAAATAAACTTCTGTCCTTTTAGTCACTGTTTTTCTAGGACTCTGTCACAGCCATCGAACTTATATCCTAAGTAACAAATTCCCCCCAAAATTAAAAGTGGTTGGGTAAGGAGGCTACTGTCATTGCTGTTGTTAGTACCCTCTGAAATTTCATATAATATACATATATCACCTAGATTTTTAAAAACACAAATTAATTTTTATAAAGAGAGATGGAAATTAAAGTAATTTTGAAGTATTATTATTTTTCACCTGGTAAGTTAAGAAAAACTTTTAGAAGGGTACCATCACTGTTTGTGAAGTTGCACTGAAAGCCATATATCATTGAATACAGCACTCTAAACTGATATAGCCCTTTCAGAAACCAATTAAAGCAACTTGCAAACAGAACTAGAAAAGGGTTCATAAACTTTGACCAAAAAAATCACACTCTTGGGGATGTTTCCTAAGGAAGTAATTCTATAGAGGCAAAGAGCTGTCTCCATAATAGCCCAAACATGAAAAAGGCCAAATGTTCAACATGATAGGGAAGATTTAGGATATTATGATACACTTGAGTTGACAGAATATTATGTATGGATTAAAAAAACAATTGGGAAGCCTGCCTAAAAACAAAGAAATATTTTCTGATATCACATTAAGTAAAAACCAAAAAATAAAGATAGAATCAGTCTGATTTTTAAGATAAGTGTGTGCGGGAACACGAATTTAAAAGATTTATGACACATACAAAAGAACAAAGTTGAACTCCTATCTTTGCTATATATAAAAATTATACTTAATTTAAAAATGGATTAAAGACCTAAATATAGGATCTAAAACCATAAAACTCTTAGAAGAAACATAGGTATAAATCTTTGTGATCTTTGATTAGGCAGTGGTTTCTTAGATATGACACCAAAATCAAAAACAAAAGAAAAAGTAGATAAATTGGACTTTAACAAAATTTAAAACTTCTGTGTTTCAAAGGACACCATCAAGGAAGTGAAAAGAAAACCCACAGAACTGGAGAACATTTTTGTAAATCATATATCTGATAAGAAACTTGTATCTAGCATAAAAAATTATTACAATAATAAAGACAACTAAATAAAAAATGGGCAGATGATCTGAACAGATGTTTCTCTAAAGAAGATATATAAATGGCCAATAAGCATGTGAAAAGATGCTCAATACCATTAGCCATCAGGTAAATGCAAATCAAAACCACAATGAGATAATGCTTCACACTCACCAGCATGACCATAAAAAAAAGACAGACAATAACAAGTATAGGCAAAGATGTGGAGAAACTGGAACCCCCATGTACTGCTGCTGGGAATGTAAAATAGAGCAGCTGTTTTAAAAAAGTCTCATTGTTCCTCAACCAGTTAAAAATAGAATTACCATAAGACCCAACAATTCTACTCCTAGATGTTGGGTTGGCCCAAATCTGAACGAATGTTCATAGCAGCTAGCTGGAAAGTGGAAAGAAACAAAATGTCCATCAACTGATGAATGGATAAATAAAATCTGGTATATACAATGGAATATTCTGAAATAAAAAGGAATGAAGTACTGACTACAACATGGATGAACCTTGAAAACATTATACTATATGAAAGAAGCCAGTGACAAAAGAACAAATATCATATCAGTCCATTTATATGAAATGTCCAGAACAGGAAAGTTTATGTAGAAAGAAAGTAGATTAGTGGCTGCCTGGGGCTGGGGGAAATAGGAGGAATGGGGGTGACTGCTAGAGGGTATGGGATTTCTTTGGGGGATGATAAAAATGTCCTAAAATTGACAGTGGTGATGGTTGTAAAACTCTGTAGATATACTAAAAACCATTGAATTGCACATTTTAAATGGGTGAATTTTATGATATGTGAATTATATCTCAATAAAGTCATTACAAGAAAAATATGAAAAAAAAGTAGAGTACTTGCATTAAAGGGTTGAATTTTTCTCCATTTTCCCACATAAAAGGTCTATTATGACAGTTTTTCAATTAGAAAAAAGTTCTTGGCCAGGCCTAGCATTCTCCACATTTCTCATTAGTCATGTGCTGGTGACATGAAGCAGGAAGCCAAGGAGAAATCCCAAGTAACTGAAGCAGTTCATACAGGGGTTAAGTCATAGCTAAATGCTTTAGAAGATACAAAGGATTACTAACTTAATAGTTAGTAATTACAAAGGAAACATTCCAGTCAAGAAGCTGCCCTCTGCTCTCAGGGCCCCCACTGCAAAAAAGGCAGGTCTTTCACGCCCCATGGAAAAACAGACTAAAGTCTCTGTTCATAACTCAGCAAAGCAGTGCTGCTTGCAACTAGGTCCCAGGGATGCTCTGTGGAAACAGGGTCCTCTGGTCAAGTAAGCGTGAGGAGAGCTGCATGACGTCCCCTCGTAGACAGTCACAGTGCACGTTAGCACAGCGAAGGCACTAAAAAGTCCAGAAGCAAAGAAACCTATTTATTTTTGCTTTATTCCAGGTTACCTGAGCACGGAAGCTTTCCTCCACACAGTTATCTATTAACATGTGCTGAAAGGATGCTAGTAGGAGCAGTTTGATTGAGAATAAACTATTATCCACAGGATTCTGTTCCTTACCCTTTGTCCCACCCCCATGCTGAATCAATGGAGATGGGGCAAGACAATAGGGAGCAATAAATTATTCAGTGCTCTGGGGCTTCTCTCTAATGTGTCAATAAAAATAGGGTTTCTAAATCACCCATTAGGGAGACCTCATTTACCCTTTTGGCAAAAAATACATTGTGTAGACCACTGGTGACTCAGAGCTGAAATGTGTGGTTCCAAAGCCCCAGGGTTTGCATATTTTAATATTAGGAATGTAAGAAAAGGCTCCAGGAAATGTCAGAACCACTTCTAGAACTCTGATGATATTTCCCTATTGATGCTTTTTATGGTTTCTAGTTCCTATCAAGTCACAGCTTACATAACATGACTTAGATCAGAGGCGGTCAGCTGAGAAAAGGAGGCAATGCCAATGATTATGGAAATACACTCAATTTCAAGAACTGTATAGAGAAGGACCTTAATTTTTGCTCTCTTAAAGGAATCTGTGCCAATTATAGTATGCTGAGCAAAAACCGTACATTTAGCCAGTAACATCAGCAACCCAGTTGGCCAGGCCAGAAATCAGGGAGTTGTCCCAGGAGCCTTCCAAATACTTCTCAGAGCTGTTCTCGCCCCTCCATTCTGATGGCCACTGTTCTAGGGTCTTCACCATCTCTCACCCTAACTAATGGGGTAAGCCAGCTCTCCTGCCTCTACTCTGCGACTCAAGCATCACCCTGTCCACATGTGTCACCCTCCTCCTCAGACCCCTCAGGGCTCCTTCTGTTCCCACCAAGCGCTCCACCCCACCTTGCCCGATAGCCTCATCACCTGCGCTGCAGAGAAAACTCAACTTACAAAGGTGAAATGACCATCCTTAAGTCATAGGATGGATCTGGGATCAGAACCTTGATCATCTTGTGCCAACTCAGGAGACAATATGCAGAAATCAACTTAGCAACTGCAGGAACTCATGTTTGAGAATTTAAACTTGTGCAAGTGATATATTCAGTCACAACTGTGTGCTGCCATGACTTGCAGCAGTTACTGCTCTAACATTAGTTATCCTCAAAACTGGACATTTGAGGGAAAACCAAGCTGCTTGCCTGATTTGAGCCACATGGCAATGGTAAATGACACTAGTGATAAGATGTTCAGGTTTAAAATGTGACCTCAAAGGCCAAAGGAGGCATAAATCCATATTCATATGGTAATTTTAATTCATTGGGAAAATTGCATTATACTCTAGCACTGTACTGGCTATAAATGACTGATTCTACATGTCAACATCCAGAGACTTGACATGCAAATTAATCTAGAGACTTTGAATAAATTGACATCTGCAAAAAGAATATTTCCATTCTGAAAATTAGAATCAGAAAATTTAGAGCCAAGTGTAGTGTTCCATTTGTAATTGTTTCAGAGATTACTAAAAAGAGGGGAGAACAAAGGAAATAACCAGGCCAAGTCAGATCTGCTGATATCCAATTGCTCTCTGCATATGCTAAAATCATTTCTTAATTTCTTACATATGAAAATGTTTTGGATTTATATAGTGTCTTTCATGTCAGGAACTCCATCTCTTGTAACTTATTGGCTAGTTAATCCTCTATTGCTATTACTTCATTTTAATTTGTGTCCCCAAATTAACCATGGGAAAAAAATCTAAGGCCAGATGTTTATATTTTTCAGTTTTTCAATTTTAGATATTATTCAACCAACATAGCCCTCAAGGAATCTCAAAATGCTCATGAAAGTAAAAACAACAAGTTTTCCCTTTAAACTAAATAGTTGAAAACAATCCAATCTTTCTTTTGAATACGTGGAAAATAAAACTGAGAGAGATAGCTACTGGACTTTATAAGCACACACTGAAATCTTAAGAGTCTTTTCTCCATTTCAATATACAACAACAAAAGAGATGAAACCAAGTGATATCTGTCCTGTGCCAGTGAATTACATATGCATCTGGGTCTCCTCTGCTATGACCCTGCCTCCGCCCCCCGAAGACAGGACTGTGAACGGCCATCTATGCATCCCCAAGTGCTCAGTATGTAGCAGGCTCTCAGTAAGTATTAACTGATCTGAATATTGATGTTGTTAAGTAAACAATTAGAAGTCCTAAGCAGAGATAAGCTGGGATGACATTGTTTATCTTTCCAATGTGATCAGGAAATCTTTCATTCTGACTATTTTAAGAATAGCAATTAAAAAAAAAAACTTTATGCCACCATTCAAAAAATTTTATTAATCAAATAATTCAAATAGACCTCCAATAATTCAGATGGTGTGCTTTTGGGTTGAAGTTTATAGTCTATGAAAAGTGAAGGAGGCTGAGATTTTTACAGAAATTTTACATTTCTCTGGAGACCTACTTCTAAATGACAGGTGAGTTCTTTTCGCCTGCCCAGGATCATATCCCCTTCCTCTGGGAAGAGCCTCTGAGTTTCAGAAAGCTACCCCTTCCTCACTGATGACAGTCTTGTTGGTCTATCAAGGAAGGTGCCTGGCCTTCCCTTGGCCAACAAAAAGGCCAGGGTCCCCAGTTATACCAAGTGAACACCCTTCTCTGCAACAGGAATCTCAAACCAAGTGTCCCAAGCACTGAGGGCGAGGTGAGAGCAGATTCACTCAGTCAGTGGTACGCAAGACACTATTAGTTCCTACTGCCCAACCCCCCATGGCTGTCTGGTCCAAGTCCTCTTCCAGACTGGTTCTTCCCCACGGCTTTCCAGTATGTTCCCCTCCTCCCCTGGGTTAGCCAGAGATGGATTCTGTTGCTTGCAACCCTGGAATACTGACTAATGCATAGGCACTTCCCAATCCTCACTGACCAACACCTGCTACGCCAATTCTAGGTCAGCTTGATCCACTCATTTAAGACCTGTATTGAGCAGGACTCTGCTTGTCTGCTCAGATCACTGTGTGAATTCTTAAAGATACTAAAATTAAGTTATTGAAATGTTTCCTTTAATTGTCATTGGCTTCCTTCCTGTCCCTGCCAGTATAGTTTTATTTGATGATAAAATTATAAGTTAAGTACCAGATTCTATTCCTATCAGAAAAGAGCTTTAAATCTAGATTATATTTAAAGGGAAAGAGTTGAGCTTTCAAACAAAAACTTAAGAAGCGGACAAACTAGTAACTCAAAGTAACAACATTTTCAAAGTTCTTTTTGATCCTCATGTTTTAAAATCAAAACATGAAAAGTTAGGCCAAGGAGAATAACAGATCACACAAGATGACAAATGTGAAAGAACCATGAACTCTGTGAAACATAAGGCATAATGCCCGTCTTAACCTTAACTTGCCAACTCACCTTTGCCAGGGATGAGAGCCTTCCGAAAGGCTTCCTTCAGAGAGCTGTGCCCATGTAAGAGTCTGTGGCTGGGAGAGATGGCCACGTGGGCGGTGCCGTAAATGGCCTCGGGGGTGGCCGTGTAGGCGCTCAGCTTTTCTCCTGTGACTTGCCCATCAACCTGGCAGGGGGGAAGCAGACTCATTTCCTCAGTCCTCCCTCTGGGCTGCTGTGCTCCCCAGCCATATCCCTTCCTCCCACCCCTCCCCAATCCCAGATAGTGGTGACAGCTTCTGACCATAGCCACAGGGATGTGGGGACCTGAGGTGGTCCCTGGCAGGGGCAGAAAGGGCAAGAGAGAAGAGGGTCACAGCTCCTCTTTCAGGAGGCCTCCGCAGTGCCAATAACCAGGCGTACTTGGGGGCCCCAAATCAAAGGGGGTCAAAGCATGCTCAGAAGGATGCCTTCCCCGGTTCTTGGCTCCTTTGTTCACAAATCAATAATAACTGTCAATGTTATTCGTCCTGAGAAAGGAGCTATATACTTTCCTCCAGGATTTAAGTTACAAATAAAGGCATCAAAATTTCTAACCAGAAAAAGACACTGAGGCTAATTCCATTTTGAATAGGAAAGAAAGGACAGCCTGAGCTGAGCTCAAGAATGAGTGCTCCTAGGGCTGGTTAAATGCCTTTCAAGGAAGAGTCAAACATTAGGCACCAACTGAATGCCAACTATGTGACAGACACAGAGGACACAGAGAGGCCAGATCCTCCTTTGTTCACACATTCCAATGTGCTCACAAAGTGCCAATGATGTGTGAAGCGCTTGGGGCCCAGAACTAAAAGTCCACACTATGGGCTGAGTGCCAATTAGGTGTCACCTATGGAGCCAGGCCTGGGGCCTCAGAGGCACAGCCACATGGCCCTGTACCTGCAGGACTGAGAGTGTTCCCCCCGGAGATGTCTCATTTTCAGGTGGGTCCAGGAATGGAGGTGGAGACACTTTCATGATAAAATATTGGGCAAGGGAGAGAATACAGAAGACATTCCACATACAGTAGCCAGGTGGCTCAGAGACCCGCATCCCTCACCCTGGTGAAGAAGCAAAGGCCTACAATGTGATCACATCTTGAAATGAAAATTTTGGATGTAATGAGTTAAATAAAATGTTATTAAAATTAATTTCACCTGTTTCTTTGCACTTTAAAAAATGTGGCTACTAGAAAATTTGAAATTACATATGTGACTCTCAGTATCTTTCTACTGGATAGCACTGTTGCAGAGTCTCAAGTTGCTGGTTTCTTCAAAGAGTTCTAAAAATGCAGAAGGGGGTTTCTGAGCATTAATTGCTGGAGATGCTCTTGCTCGATCACCTTTAATGTGAAGTCCAAATGGCAGCCCACACAGTCCCCGATCCAGTGGGCCTGCATGCCTTTTATTCCATACCATTCCGGAAGGTCTGCCAGCGCGTCCTGCATGGGCTGTAGGAATGAAAGGAGAACGGAGAGGTAGAAGCACACAGCTTACTTAAGACAAAGCAAGTGATCTGGGGCTCACTAAGGTGGGAGAACTGGGGACACTGAAGGAGGTTCAGGATTTAGCCCTTTTCTTCTTCACTTGTCAATCAGAGAGGCCCAGCAAAGGTCACACAGATGCACTCATCATGACTCAATTTAGTGAGATGGGTTTCACTCACTTCTCTATTTTGAGTGGGCCAAGGTTTCAGAGAGAGAAGAAAATTAACAAGGAGAGACCATGATTAACATCTTTGATGGATGTGGTTAGTGCATTCTCCTCCACAGTCTGGGACCTAAACAAAAGAAGTTCAAGTTTATGAATTTTTAAACCCTAAGATAAGTCATTCACAGGTATGGCTATTCTACAACTCAACTGTATCATATATAGAACATTATAAGTTTATTTAAAAAATAAAAATTAGCATAAGGGAAACCATCACATTGATTTGTGTAACATTTACTATTAAAAGCATACATTTATTTTCATCGCCTAATTTTAATCCTAAAATCCTACAAAAGGGAGGCTTTTCAATAAACTATTCTCTATGGTCTCAAGCTCATGCCATCCCTTTATTTGAAGATGAGATACATTCTTTCAACAAATAAGTTTAAAAGTAAATCATATATTTATAATAAGAGTCCAATTTTAAATTCCTAATTGTATTATGACTAATACAGGCAACATAACGATGCTTTATTCATGTCGTGTTTTGTAATTCATAAAGTGCTTTTACACACATCTCTTCTCACACACTCTGGGTAAGGTAGCTCACTTTCAGATTAATGAACCCACACTGAGAAAGCGTATAGCTTTCTCATGCAAGCCTGCAGGAAAGGACAAGCCAGGACTAAAACCCAGACCTTACTAACTGCATTCTTTTGCCTACAGGGCAGAGACTTACTCTATCATGTGATAAACAACACAGAGCATTTTTTACACTTGTCATCTATCTATCCATCCATTCTCATTAATTCGGGAGAGGCTGCAAGTTTCAAGATCCAGAAATTTCTTCTGAGGCAGAAATTGTGGATTATGGACACCATCAAGTTGACCAGCAATGTGTTCATTCATTTGTTTATTCCCAGGAATGTATTAATTCCCCAACCCTAAACACAAGGACCTCATCTAGGCATTGGAGACTGGGGCATACACAAAGCAGGATGTGCCAGAGTCCCTAAAATGAAGTTTAAATAATGCACACATGGAGCCTGCTGCTATTCGTTGGGTAACTGATCAAACTGCAATGCCAAATGCTATTAGCATCAAAGAAGATGGGACACGGGTCGTGGAAATGAATCAAGGGAAAAGAAAAATAGTGGGAGGGTAGGGAAGAAAAGTAACAGAGTGAAAAGTAGGGAGAGGTATAAAAGATTTGGGGGGTGGACCACAGAGGAGAAGGAAAGTCATAGGAAGTGGGTGGGTGAGGAAAGAAAAGCTCCAAAAAGAAAAGAAAGGAAGGGAAAAGAAGCAACTAAAGAGTGCCTGCCCAGCCCACAGTAGGGTGCAATGACCAGTCAGTAACAGGGTGAGCCTTCCTGCCATGGGGCTGTCAATTTTGAGAGAAAAGCAAAGGAAAGAGGGAACGGAGTTACACTAATATTAAAATAGAAACCAGACGTGTGTGCAAAATTGGAAAAGGAGAGCACTGGAAAGCCTCAGTGAAGAGCTCAAGCTGTCCTTTTTGGATTCCGCGGGCTTCTAACTGTTGTGGCCTCTCCCGTTGCGGAGCACAGGCTCCGGACGCGCAGGCTCAGCGGCCATGGCTTACGGGCCCAGCCGCTCCGCGGCATGTGGGATCTTCCGGGATCGGGGCACGAACCCGTGTCCCCTGCATCGGCAGGTGGACTCTCAACCACTGCGCCACCAGGGAAGCCCTCAAGCTATCCTTTTAACGCAACGTCACACTAAGGCTCAGTAAAGGCAGGTCCCCTTCCTTTTTGCTACCAATAGGAACCTAGCTGTGTAACACTTGGCATAATCCTCATGCAGAGACCCAACAACCCAGCTCATGTTTATAGGTCATCTTCAACAAAATGATTCTAGGGTTCTCCCATTTCCGGACCATTAATCAGGAAAGATAAAAACGTTTTTTATGAGGAAATGTCATTAATTAGAAACCATGGGTATTTTATAGTCTACCTGGTCATTTGGAAAGGAGATCCACAAAAACCAAATAGCTGATGACAAAGATTCAGAAATATTTTAGGTAAGTTTTGAAACTTCATAATTCAGCATGACCTATGCTTAAGCCAATTCATGATGTTGATGAAACCATACTGCCCAATCTCCCAGGGCAGGATCAAGGAAAACCAGAGTTGCTAGTTTTAAGTAAAATAAGCAGATCAACATGTGTCAATGCCATAGATATATTCCAACATCTGTGCTTGTGAGATGGCTTTCCATAGGATATACAAAATGCTTTATGGGTCAACTAAGTTGCCCAAAAGGACCATTATGTTTCAGTATTTGCCTGAGTGAAAACTGACTTTTGAGAAGGTGGTAAAAGTCCTGCTTCAGGTTCCTGACTGTTCATTACTTCAATTAAAGTGGCTTTCTTTTGGTACAAACTATTATGTTTAAAATAAATAAGCTACAAGGATATATTGTACTGCCCAAGGAATATAGCCAGTATCTTATAATAACTATGAATGGAGTATAATCTATAAAAATTTTCAATCACTACATTATATACCTGAAACTAACATAATATTGTAAATCAACTATACCTCAAAAAAAAAAAAGTCAGAGCAACAAGATTGGTTTAAGATGGTGGAGTAGAAGGACATACTCTCATTCCCTCTTGCAAGAACACCAGAATTACAACAAACTGCTGAACAATCATCGATGGGAAGACACTGGAACTCACCAAAAATGATACCCCACATCCAAACACAAAGGAGAAGCCACAATGAGATGGTAGAAGGGGCACAATCACAATAAAATCAAATTTCATAACTGCTGGGTGGGTGACTCACAAACAGAGAACACTTATACCACAGAAGTCCACCCACTGGAGTGAAGGTTCTGAGCCCCACGTCAGGCTTCCCAATCTGTGGGTCTGGCAACGGAAGGAGAATTCCTAGAGAATCAGACTTTGAAGGCTAGTGGGATTCGATTGCAGGACTTTGACAGGACTGGGGGAAAAAGAGACTCCACTCTTGGAGGGCACACACAAAGTAGTGTGCTCACTGGGACCAAGTGGAAGGAGCAGTGACCCCATAAGAGACTGAACCAGACCTACCTGCTAAGTTGGAGGGTCTCACAGGCAGGGGATGACTGTGGCTCACCGTGGAGACACTGGCAGCAGAAGTTCTGGGAAGTACTCGTTGGCATGAGCCTTCCCAGAGTCTGCCATTAGCCCCACCAAAGAGACCGGGTAGGCTTCAGTGTTGGGTCACCTCAGGCTAAACAACCAACAGGGAGGGAACCCAGCCCCATCCATCAGCAGACAAGTGAATTTATGTGTTACTGAGCTCAGCCCACCAAAGCAACAGCTAGCTCCACCCACCACCAGTCCCTCCCATCAGGAAACTTGCACAAGCCTCTTAGATAGCCTCATCCACCAGAGGGTAGACAGCAGGAGCAAGAAGAACTACAATCCTGCAGCCTGTGGAACAAAAACCACATTCACAGAAAGATAGACAAGATGAAAAGGCAGAGGGCTATGTACCAGATGAAGGAACAAGATAAAACCCCAGAAAAACAACTAAATGAAGTGGAGATAGGAAACCTTCCAGAAAAAGAATTCACAATAATGATAGTGAACATGATCCAGGACCTGGCAAAAAAAATGGAGGCAAAGATTGAGAAGATGAAAGAAAAGTTTAACAAAGATCTGGAAGAATTAAAGAACAAACAAATGGAGATGAACAACACAATAACTGAAATGAAAAATACACTAGAAGGAATTGACAGCAGAATAACTGAGGCAGAAGAACGGATAAGGGACATGGAACACAGAATGGTGGAATTCACTGCTGTGGAACAGAATAAAGAAAAAAGGATGAAAAGAAATGAAGACAGCCTAAGAGACCTCTGGGACAACATTTAACATAACAACATTCACATTATGGAGGTCCCAAAAGGAGAATAGAGAGAGAAAGGACCAGAGGAAATATTTGAAGAGATTATAGTTGAAACCTTCCCTAACATGGGAAAGGAAATAGCCATCTAAGTCCAGGAAGTGCAGAGAGTCCCATACAGGATAAACCCAAGGAGAAACACGCCGAGACACATAGTAATCAAACTGGCAAAAATTAAAGACAAATAAAAATTATTGAAAGCAGCAAGGGAAAGACAAAACATAACATACAAAGGAATCCCCATAAGGTTATCAGCTGATTTTTCAGTGGAAACTCTGCAGCCCAGAAAGGAGTGGCAGGATACACTTAAAGTGATGAAAGGGAAGAAACTATAACCAAGATTACTCTACCCGACAGGAGTCTCATTCAGATTAGACAGAGAAATCAAAAGCTTCACAGACAAGCAAAAGCTAAGAGAATTCCACACCACCAAACCAGCTCTACAACAAATGCTAAAGGAACTTCTTTAAGTGGGAAACACAAGAGAAGAAAAGAACCTATAAAAACAAACCCAAAACAATTAAGAAAATGGAAATATGAAAACACATATCGATAATTACCTTAAACGTGAATGGATTAAATGCTCCAACCAAAAGACACAGGCTTGCTGAATGGATACAAAAACAAGACCCGTATATATGCTGTCTACAAGAGACCCACTTCAGACCAAGGGAAACATTCAGACTGAAAGTGAGGGGATGGAAATAGATACTCCATGCAAATGGAAATCAAAAGAAAGCTGGAGGAGCAATACTCATATAAGATAAAATAAAGAATGTTACAAGAGACAAGGAAGGACATTACATAATGATCAAGGGATCAATCCAAGAAGAAGACATAACAATTATAAGTACATATGCACCCAACACAGGAGCACCTAA